AAGAAGTGAGACTCACGTGTCTTACTGCTCATGTCTGATCAGGAAATATTTGATCCACCCAGTGGGTCTAGTAAACAAACCGTGAACGTGCATTACTCCCAGATTATTTACACCTGACTTGAATAAACCACCCTAAATGAGCGCGGCTTGGTGTTACAGCAACAGATTACAGCTGTTTACAAGATGAAGGCTAGTTCAATCTCGGCTTACAGCTCATATCCTGAATTTAGAAATCTGACTTTTGTGCAATAGGCCTTCACTCAGTTACCATTACTGACCAACCTGCCACTCTTTGTTTATGTATTTGTTTATGAGTGTTTGTTTGTCTATTAATGTTTGTTTATCTGAGTGTTGTTTTTTTATTAGTGTTTATTGTGTTGGTCATATTTTATTGACTTTGTTTTAATTGTAGAAACAGTAATGGGCTAAAAAAATATTCCTTTTTAATCGGATTCTGTCAGGATTTGTAAATATAAACACAGTCTGGATTTGTAACCGTAAACACAAACAGGATTTTGTAAATATAAACACACACAGGATTTGTAAATATAAACACACACAGGATTTGTAAATATAAACACACACAGGATTTGTAAACGTAAACACAAACAGAGGCCTATTGCGGGAAACTAACCCGGGATTAACCCGGGATTTTGGTGTAAACCTGAATTAATTAAGCCTTGAATCGGTTGCATTAACTACGAAGCACTTATGTTTCTGTGGTAACAAGTGCTCTGAAACTAACCTGGTCCCGAGCAGGTTTAAAGTGAAGTTTATTTAATCTGTTAATATTTTTGAGCAGTAGAGTAATTTTACTGCAGAAAAATGTATCTCTAGCCAAGTTTTAGAGTCTTATATCAGGTAAAAAGTACTTTTGATCTTGTTCTAGACTGAGATACTAAAGATCAGAATATGTTGGATTATTAATCTTGTTAATCTGAAATGACATCTGGACCTGGAGTCTTCCTGGCCTATAATCTCCTGAAGAGCTGACACATGTTCTCACAGATCCTCCACATTACTGGGGGAGAAGGTTGGGAGGAGCAGAGGCGAAGGGGAGACTCACGGAGCTGGTAACATTATGGTACAACAGCAGCAAAACGCATCGATTCTTAAACTTTAACAGAAATAGCAATTAAGTTTTTATAGTTTTATTTTTTAAGAGCATGGATTGGTTGAGTAGCTTGAAGACGTCCCTGGGGTCGACTTTGCAAACTGTCCAAGCCTGGTTTTATTTTGACCTGAATGTTTTCTGCTTCAGGAACAAGTCCGCTCAGAAAAAATAAAACATTCGTGAATTTATATTTGATTGTAAAATGTTTGAAACATGAATAATGTGATTGTAATTGTTTTATGTAATTATTAAAGTGTTCAAACTTGCTGTTTGTCATAAAAGATCCAGTTGATTTCAGTTAAAAGCCTTGTAATAAAACTACTGTAACCTGGGAGCTGATGAGCTACAGAAAGTTGACCAGGTGTATCAAACTGTACAGGACCGTCCTGCAGTTTTCACTCATGTCTGGCTTGCTGTCCATTCTCATCCTACTTGATTTGAGTGCAGCGTTTGACACCATCTGCCATGTCACCNGAGAAGGACATATACAACTGTAGATCATCAGCATAACAGTGAAAAGTTACTTTGAATGCAGGAGATGACCAAGAGGCTATTTATATTAATTTTTACCGCTCGTGCCAGGCGGCTCCTCTGTTGGCGGCGGATGCTGTGCGGTGAGGGAAAGGTGGGCATGGGCGGAGCCACGGAGATGGAGATGGTCACCCTGTTCCTCTCCCGACTGGAGGAACTCTGATGCTGCTGTTCATCTGCAGAAACATGTGGTTAACACAAACGCTGGGAGAGATGTGCGTGACCAAACCAGCTCTCGAAGCCCCCTCACCTCGGTGCAGAGCTCTGAGGCTGAGCTGGGCGTTCCTGTGCAGCTCCTCCAGACACGGGGCTCGGGTGCAGGGGTGGAAAACGTTGTGTTGCTGATGCCATGGAGCCTGATAATGAGCCGACACCTTGCTCTCAACGTCCAGGTTTGACACGGCTTCAAGGAAAAGATGGAGACAGAATGTGTTAAAAGCTGCATCTCTACAGGTTTTACATGATAAATAATATAAAAGCCCTCTGAACTAAAGAAGAGAGGAACCATCCTGCCTCTCATCAACACACGGTTCAAAGGTCTGCCTCTATGATGGTATGGGGGTGCATTAGTACCTCTGGCATGCCCAAGCTACACATAGAACAACTTCTGTTCCCATCCAGGACTGAAGAACATCAAGAGTCCTCCATCAGACCAGAACAAGAATAACAAGTATTTTTACATAGATTTTTACATAGATTTTTACATAGATTTTATATAGATACATTGTTTTTTATTTATTTTTATCTATTTTTATGGTTACATTTTATTTGTTTCTGTTACTTTTTACTCTTTGTACGGTGTCCTTGAGTGCCAGAAAGGCAACTTTGAAATAAAATGTATTATTATTACTATTATTATTATGTCCTGGCGTCCCACAAGTTCAAACAATGTCCTGCATTTGACTGATGATTCAGTCATTCCATAATTTGAAATTATGGAATGTCAAAAAATATATATATTTTAAAAAATCAAATGTTATTTAGTGGCTGCAGGACTGATCAAAAAGTAGACAGTGTCAGACAGAAACTGGAAGTTTCAGGGTTGGTGCAGCTGGCTGGGTATGAAGCCAGGTGAATAAGTACTTAGATTTAAGAGCAGATAGATTCTTGAGGATCAGATCTCATGCTGATTTAACCCTGATTCTGGATAGGTATGTCTCTTCCGTCTCCTTAAGAGTTATTTTAATGGCTCCTCTTGATTTTAAAGGGGCAATATGATGTGTTTCTCAGGCATACATTTAAATACTATAACAAAGTATCGCTGTCACCTTTAGCTGTTATTAAAATGCTGTTTTTATGTTTAAATAGAAAATAAACTTATCTTCTCATCACTTGCTCTTCTAAATGCCTTGAAATTGGCCTNCAGAGGCTCATTTCACAAAAGTCAGATTTATAAATTCAGGATATGAGCTGTAAGCTGAGCTTGAACTAGTCTTCAACTTGTAAACAGCTGTAATCTGTTGCTCTAACACCAAGCTGCGCTCAATTAAGGTGGCAAATTCAAGCCAGCTGTAAATGGTTTAGGATTAATGCACGTTCACGGTTTGTTTACTAGACCCATCAGGTGGATCAGACACATGAGTCTCACTTGTTCCAGCAGTTTAATGGTTAATTATGATTCAGATGAAGAGAAACACTGATTGATGCTGAAATAATTTAAAACATAAAAACTTTTTGTGCCACTGAATCTGTGTTTTCTGAAATTAACAAAATGAACAAAATTAAAATGAACAGCTCGCTCACTTAAAATGATCGCTGTAGGAAAAGACGAGGGACGGAGCGGGGCGCTCCACTTTAAACCTGGTCAGGACCAGGTTAGTTTCAGAGCACTTTACCATGGAAACACAAGTGCTTCCTCTGTCATGTAACCGATTCAAGGCTTAATTAATTCAGGTTTACACCAAATCCTGATTCAATCCCTTGTCCTAGATTCGTGCAATAGGTCCCAGGTGTGCCAAACAGGAAAACAAGAATCTGAGCTTCAGAAACCAGCATGGCACTGAGAGTCTGGACCACCTAAGAGAAGTCTGTTTGTTGGTTCTGAGCTCAAACTCAAAGATTAAAATAACCCAATTTTATCTGTACTGACAGAAACACGAGCCACACAAAGGTCAGATTACAGGGCGCAAGAAACAACTTTTTTTGGTTCAGCCATTAAAATACTGTTTCTATTCACATCTTATTTAACTGTTTATTAAGAAAGTTACAAATGTAAATATTCTTTTATTCAGAAAAAAATACATATATAAAACCAAAATGTTTTACAGTAAAGATGAGACTTTGACCCTCAGAGTTCAGGTCTCAATCTGAATCAGAAGGAATGAAAATGATCCAGTTTTTCAGTCTGATCAAAGTTTTTCCATCTTGAAGCAGATCTGATCTGTTGGACCAGAGGACCCCAACAAACCTTCCTCTGCAGAACCACAAGGACCACTGGCTCCCCCTAGTGGTCATGTTGATGTTCCACATGAACCTGCAGGAGAACCATGAGAACAAAAACAAAAACACGTTGACACCTTGGGACCTGAGGCAGCAACAAACTTTGAGTTCTGCTCATAATCCAAACGTCAGGTGCTCTGGGTGTTACACCTGTGATGTTTGTTACACCTGAAATGATTGTTACACCTGTGATGTTTGTTACACCTGTGATGTTTGTTACACCTGTGATGTTTGTTACACCTGTGATGTTTGTTACACCTGTGATGTTTGTTACACCTGTTATGTTCAGTCAGGTGTCCAGGTGTTGTGGTTCAGGTTACCTGTGTGAAGCTCAGTCGTATTTATCCGGCTCTCGTCTAGTGTTAAGAAGCAGTTGTTTCTCTGCTCGCTGGTTTCTTGTGTGGTCTTTATGTCAAAGGTCATCACTGTGATTGGCCCCGTGACCCCCTTTAGATGGACCTGGATGCTTTTCTGGATCAGAAGATGAAGACAGCCCAACGTGAATCGTCCAAACAAAGTATGAGGTTGGGATCATTCCTGACCTGCAGACTCCAAACATCTGAACTAGTTTAACAGTTTTCACTAAAGCAAACAGAACCAGAACAAACTGGACTTATTTGGTCCTCTTACCTCTTTAGGAGTATGAACCTCCAGCCTGGTGTCCTCTGGAGCTTTCACCAGAACCAACGTCTGCTCCTGAAAGGTTTCGAGCCGACTGAAATCCTCAAGGGTCACATACGCTAATGTGCACATCGAGTTAAAGAAGTTCAATAGAATTCCATGTATTTGTAGTTCATATTTACAACTTACATTATCCCAGAGAGCAAAACAAAAAGTCCAAACCATGCAACCAATTTAGTCCAAACCGGTCCTAGGTGAGGGATCAGACAAAGTGCAACCCAAAGACTCCTATGATGTGTGCCACATTTAGACTGAGTGTTCCCTCGCCCAGATGCGGGTCACTGGGGCCCCACTCCTGAGCCAGGCCTGGAGGTGGGGCACGTTGGCAAGCGCCTGGTGGCTTGGCACAGCCCGAAGAAGAGACGTGGGATCCCTTTCCATGGGCTCACCACCTGTGGGAGGGGCCAAAGGGGTCGGGTGCATTGTGTGCTGGGCAGTGGTCGAAGGCGAGGACCTTGACGGTCTGATCCTCAGCTTCAGAAGCTGGCACTAGGGATGTGGAATGTTACCTCTCTGGTGGGGAAGGAGCCTGAGCTGGTGTGTGAAGTTGAGAGGTTCAGATTAGATATAGTCGGACTCACCTCGACGCACTGCTCTGGCTCTGGAACCAGTCTCCTCGAGAGGGGTTGGACGCTCTTTCACTCTGGTTGCCCATGCTGAGAGGCGCAGAGCTGGAGTGGGCATACTTATTGCCCCCATCTTGGTGCCTGTATGTTGGGGTTCACCCCGGTGAACAACAGGGTAGCCTCCCTCAGCCTACATGTGGGGGTACGGGTCCTGACTGTTTGTGCCTATGCGCCTAACAGCAGTTCAGATTACCCACCCTTTTTGGAGCCCTTGGAAGCGGTGCTGGAGATGCTAACGGAGACTCCCTCGTTCTGCTGGGGGACTTCAACACTCACGTGGGTAATGACAGTGAGATCTGGAGGGGTGTGGCTGGGAGGAATGGCCCCCCCGATCTGAACCTGAGTGGTGTTTTGTTATCGGGCTTCTGTGCTCGTCATTGATTGTCCATAACGAACACCATGTTTAAGCATAAGGATGTCCATATGTGCTCTTGGCACCAGGACACCCTAAGCTACAGTTCGATGATCGATTTTGTTGTCGTTTCATCTGATCTGCGACCGCATGTTTTGGACACTCTGGTGAAGAGAGGGGCGGAGCTGTCAACTGACCACTACCTGGTGGTGAGTTGGCTCTGATGGTGGGGGAGGATGCCGGTCAGACCTGGCAGACGCAAACGTATAGTGAGCGTCTTCTAGGAACGTCTGTCAGAGTCTCCCGTCAGACGGCGCTTCAGCTCGCACCTCCGGGAGAACTTTGAACAAATCCTCTTTGGCTCGGCTTCAGTCTGTGCAGAACGCTGCAGCGAGGTTATTAACAAAGACCCACAGGAGAGCCCACATAACTCCTGTTTTAGCCTCTCTGCACTGGCTCCCTGTGCATTTGAGRRDTCATTTTAAAATTTTAGTTTTAACTTTCAGAGCACTTCATGGTCAGGCCCCCAAATACATACTGGACCTTCTGAAGCCTCTCTGTCCATCCAGGACTTTGAGGTCTTCAAATCAAATACTGCTGGTGGTCCCTCGAACCCATTATAAAACCCATGGAGACAAAGCTTTTCAGGTGGTGGCCCCGAGGCTCTGGAACGCTCTCCCTTTGTCCCTCCGCTGTTCAGATTCTACTGACTCTTTTAAGAAACATCTTAAGACATTTTTATTCAGACAGACTTTTAGTTAATGTGCTTTTTATTGTGTTTTAATTGTTGTTTTTATATCTGTGATCTGTTTCATTGTTTTTAGATATTTTTGCTTTCTGTGAAGCACTTTGTGATGTTTGTGTCTGTGAAAGGTGCTATAAAAATAAAGTTTACTGACTTACTTGCTTACTTCCGGGGGAGGTGGGGGACTTTGAGCCTGAGTGGGCCATGTTCTGTGCCTCCATTGTCAAGACGGCTTACCTGAGCTGTGGCTGTAAGGCTGTCGGTGCATGTCCTGGCAGCAACGTTCAAACCTGCTGGTGGACACCGGCGGTGAAGGATGCTGTCAGGCTGAACAAGGAGTCCTATCTGGTCTTTTTGGCCTGTGGGACTCTGGAAGCCGCCAATAGGTATCGGCAGTTCAAGCGGATTGCGGCTCAGGTGGTCATTGAGACAAAAAACTCAGGCGTGGGAGGAGTTCGAAGAAGTCATGGAAAAAGACTTCCGTACAGCTTCGAGGTGATTCTGGTCCGCCCTCCGGCGTCTCAGGGGGGAAAGCGGTTTACCACCAACACTGGTTATGGTGCGCTGCTGACCTCAACTCAGGACGTTGTAGGTCGGTGGGCAGAATACTTCAAAGACCTCCTTAATCCTACGACACGTCTTCCCACGAGGAAGCAGAGCCTGAGGACCCTGGGTCAGACTCTCCAATCGCTGGTGCCGAGGTCACCGAGGAGGTTAAAAAGCTCCTCGGTGGCAAGGCACCGGGGGTGGATGAGATTCACCCGGAGTTCCTTCAAGGGATCCACGATTAGTTGTAAAATTAGACTTTATTTGATAAACATTTAACTGTAAAATAAAGACTGTAAAAATCCTGTAGGCTGTTTGGTTTTTATAATTTTTAAAAATACATTTTAAAACGGACAGGGCCATTTTGTTAACATGCAAAGCATTCTGTGTAAATGACGACGTGGATAGGTCCTCGGTATGAGGCTGCTAGCGAGCTATATCCACCCTGAAGGTTAATCTTGGACAATATCTGATGATCGACTCTTTTTTAAATGAAACCAGAGAGCGTTGACAGAGAGGAGAAGGTAGAAATGACTCAGCCTGGAACTGAAAATATGGATGGAGGACAACAGAGCTGCTTCATAGAAGAAGAACATCAGCGTAGTCTGTTAGCTTTAGCGTTAGCCCCGACACTATCACCAAATACAGCATATGTATTAGCTCAGCGCTACACATTCTCTCGTCACTGAGGTCCTCCATCTACATGACAGAGAGGGGAACGCAAAAATGACTCAGCCTGCAACTGAAAATATGGATGGAGGACCTCAGTTTAGCTTGTTTGTCGCGCTAGTGCTGAGCTAATACATGTTAGGCAATATAGCGTCGGTGCTAGCGCGAAGGCTAACAGGCTAAGCTGAGGTTCTTCTTCCATGAAGCAGCTCTGTTGTCCTCCATCCATATTTTCAGTTCCAGGCTGAGTCATTTCTACCTTCTCCTCTCTGTCAACGCTCTCTGGTTTCATTTAAAAGAGTCGATCATCAGATATTGTCCAAGATTAACCTTCAGGGTGGATATAGCTCGCTCACACCGAGGACCTATCCACGTCATCATTTACCCAGAATGCTTTGTGTGTAAATAAAATGGCTCCGTCTGTGTTAAAATATGTTTTTAAAAATTTACAAATCTAAACAGGCTACAGTATTTTTACAGTCTTTATTTTACAGTTAAAATACATGTTTATTAAATAAAGTCTAATGTTACAACTAATCAGGGATCCCTTTAAGACTCTGGATGTTGTGGGGTTGTGTTGGTTGACACGACTCTACAATATCGCGTGGACATCGGGGGCAGTTCCCCTAGTTTGGCATATCGGGGTGGTGGTCTCCATATTTAAAAAGGGGGACCGCTGAGTGTGTTCCAACTATAGGGGGATCACACTTCTGAGCCTCCCTGGTAAGGTCTATTCAGGCGTCCTGGAGAGGAGGGTCTGTCAGATAGTCGAATCTTGGACTCAGGATGAGCGGTGTGGTTTTCATCCTGGTCGTGGAACACTGGACCACCTCTACACCCTCAGCAGGGTCCTGGAGTGTGCATGGGAGTTCATCCAACCAGTCTACATGTGTTTTGTGGACCCCGGATAAGCGGAAGAAAACGGACAGACAGAACATTGTGAAAAAACAATTACTGAAGAACAGATTGGGTCAAATGTGACCTTTGACCTCTGGGTGTAAAAGGATATATAGAGTTGTTCCGGTCATTGGTCATATCAAACAACTGTTGGTCACTGGTCTGGATCAGACAGTCCAGAGTTTCTTCCACCACCTTCAGGTTGTCCATGTCTTCTTGGATCTGGTTCTGATCCAGAAAGCTGGAGATGGGACAGGCTCCTCTGCAGAAACAGAAAATGGACCAGTTTCACTGGGACATGTCCATCTGAAGACGTTTTCGGCACTAAAAACAACGGACAGCATTTATCCTGGCAGGAAGCAGCATTTTATTTTGACAGAACACATCTTTTGTTCATTTGTGATGAAGAACCATCAGAGCACCATTGTGTTGTGTGATAAAACAGCACATTTCAGAGTGGCCTTTTATTGTGGACAGCCAAGGCACACCTGTGCAATAATCATGCTGTCTAATCAGCATTTTGATATGCCACACCTGTCAGGTGGGATGGATTATCTCTGCAAAGGAGAAGTGCCTCCCAACACAGATTTACACAGATTTCTGAAAGGATCCATGATTAGTTGAAACATTAGACTTTATTTGACAAACATTTATTTTAACTGTAGAATAAAGACTGTAAAATTACTGTAGGATGTTCAGTTTTTATCATTTTTAAACTAAAAATTTAAAAATGTATTACACGGACTGGCCCATTTTATTTACATGCAAAGCATTCTGGGTAAATGATGACGAGGGTAGGTCATCGGTGCGAGGCTGCTAGCGAGCTATATCCACCCTGAAGGTTAATCTTGGACAATATCTGATGATCGACTCTTTTAAATGAAACCAGAGAGCGTTGACAGAGAGGAACTTCAGCTTAGCCTGTGAGCTTTAGCGTTAGCGCTGACGCTATCACCATACATATGTATTATCTCAGCGCTACACATTCTCCTCTTGTCACTGAGG